TCTGTCTGTCTGTCTGTCTGTCTGTCTGTCTGTCTGTCTGTCTGTCTGTCTGTCTTTTTAGTGGTTGTTGTGTCGTTGTGTATCTCCTTGCTTAAAACTACTGATGTAATAATAATATGCCCCAAGAGGGTAATAATGATATGCCCCAAGAGGGTAGTACTATTTATGCCATTTGACCAACAACAACTTCAACAACTACAACAACAACCGGGAGCACCAGAAACAACACAGCAGCACTAACAAAACAAAAATAGCAACAAAAACAACACCACCAACAACACCCCTTAATGAAGACAGCACTTTTCACAAGTCTAAAAAGCTCCGCCGACACTCTTGCTGATTCCTGATGGGAAAACCCATTGCCACAGACGTCCGAGTTGCCCCGACAGACGTGAGTTCTCAGATGACCCGCCGAGAGATCTAGGCCACCAGCATTGTCCACATAGTCGGTGTGGGTTCTCAGTACTCAGGGGAAGTGACGTCCGGGTTAATGCGGCGTGCACGTGCGTTGACGCGCGCGAGAATCCCCAGCAGCCCACGCCGTAGAAATGGAAGCAAAAGACTGAAGATGCAATCACTGCTAATTTCTTGCTGAAAAAGAGGGAATGGATTCGATCCAAAGATAGGTTTAGCGTGTTGATTGATGTGGAGGAGAATATTGATGAGGATTTCCAAGTGATGCTTTAAATATAATGGTTATGTATGCGAATATGACTTATGTATGTTTTATAACGCGAGCAGTCTTTCTGTATTATAATAAGAAAGTCTAGTCGTTTTTTTAATCAAGACAGCCGTTCATGCTATTTATATTTCCGGTTCTACGGGTGTTCAAAGTCCTTTTCGATTTTAACATTTACATCAGCGAATCAGTAAGAACAACAGTAAAAAAACATTTGAGAAGAAGAAGAAGAAGAAGAAGAAGAAGAAGAAGAAGAAGAAGAAGAACAACAACAACAACACCAACGACAACAACAACAACAACAACAACAACAACAACAACAACAACAACAACAACAACAACGACAACAACGACACCTACAGAATAACGACATAGAGCCAGTAATAGATAGGGGAAAAAACGAGCAAACATCCCGGAATTCCGACCTATCGCACCTTCTGTCGTTTTCTCCACTTCTGTGGCCGTCGGTCAGACTGGGGACCCTTTCATTTGATGCACGTCGGGGCCATCCATCAGGCCCGATGGCCGTGAGTGTCTTTTCGCGTGACATCCTCACGCCGCGCCGGTCACTCGGAATGGACGAAGGGATCATGGGGCGGGCCTGCTAACAGCTTACTTCCGTATCCGGTGAGCTTCAAGAAAAAACGGGAAGATTGTTAATGCTTTCTTCAAAAGATGAACAAATTTGTTTCTTTAGTCCAGTCACCAGTTACAATTTAAGCTCATTTTTGTGTCTGTTGTTATTCAAGGGAAAAAGCGGGAAGATGGTTCGTGTTTTCTTCAAAAAATGGACATTTTGCTTCTTTAGCCGTTTGCATCTCTTCTGGATGCACATTAAGTGAAACCAGCTGAAGGCTTTGAATCATTTGTCCTCTCAAATCGGATCTGATCTCTCTCTCTCTCTCTCTCTCTCTCTCTCTCTCTCTCT